GAGGCAAACAGATATATTTAACATACATTAGATGTACAGTTGCATTTGTATAATTGGTTGCACAGGGATTTCAAATCTATTGGATGATAAAACCAAAGGTGGGTGTAACCATAATCTGTGTCCAAGTGTCTTGGAGTGGAGGTGAGGCAGTTGGATGATGTATTAAGTAGTGACAGTCAAAAGTCAGGCGATTAATGGAGCCGATTTAAAGGCCATTTTGAGATAATCAGCATCAGCTGGCTACCAGAAGGACGGTTGACAGCGACAGTGTTGGGTCAGTCTCTACCAGCTACTGGAGCCTGAATAAGTGCTGCAGCAAAAGGGTCATTTTTAAATCTGCATATGATAAACGTAAGATAAAGCTTTAAACAGGAGTTGAGCCAATGTGTCGGCAAGAAGAAGGAACACAATACGTTTACTGTAGAGTCAGGAGATGCCGTCTGCTGATCAATGCAGCTGTGAAATGCACTTAAACTACTTATTTTTCATTCATATTTTTTTGTTGTTGTTGTTAAACAGTTTAGTTTTTTGATTACATGTAGATCTTTATTTAGTTGATAATTTTTTTAAATATAAAATAACTGCAGACAGAGTTCAGATCCACTTATTCAAAGAGAGACAATGCCGATGTTAAACATATTTAATTTTGTTGAGACTGCTGTTAAAAAGAAATCATTTTGCTAACTCGGGCACGTGTCCATTTAAGTGTTGATTCATGTAAGTGTGCCTTTTCAAACAAATGAAATAGTTTAAAATGGGTTCGCAGATCACTTTGTCTTCATCAAGGATCCTTTTGCTCATCACCCAATCACTCATATTGTGTTTGAATGAAATGATTAAGAAAAAAGCATCAGCGTCTTTGCTAACATTCTTTACGACATTTTCTCTCACTTTGCTCCAAAGCTCCAAACTGCAGGAAATGTTAAACAGCCATTTTGTTTCCTCCCTGAAGGTGCTTTCAGTTGAGTTAAAAATACGAACACGATACAAATGCATATATGAAACTCCTACAGTATTACCTGCTTCATTGTTGGACCAGTCTTGCTGAACATACCGAAGGAGAAGAACGATGGAAACTTTGGACAAAGAAAACAAAAAGCAAATATCAGTCAGTTATTCGTACATGCAGCTGTAAAAAAAAATGTGCTGATAGCAGACATAAAAACTAAGGTTGACTCTACATATTACATCATATCATGTCATACCCCTCGGTTAATGACAGAAAAACCCACCATGGTCACAGAAATAACTTAAATAATTCTGTTGAACCACGGTTCAAAAGCAATGTCTGATTTTCATTGGTTAATTTTCATAGAATTTATATTTATTATTACTTTTGTCAGATTCAAGTTATTTCTGTGACCATTGTGGGTTTTTCTTTCTTTAACCCAGGGGTACCAACAATTTTGTCCACGTGTGTACACTGACTGCATTTACTCTACTGTGTTTTTGTTTGAAACGCAGCGCTGATGAATGAAGCGTTGAAACTGTATAATCCACGCTGTTTGAAAACATTTCTCCACTGCTGCATATGACATGAGCAGCTTTGCATAAGCCTTTTAGCTCCACACATTCTGTAGCCGTGACATTTTTAAATGCTTGGAATAACCATCTTAAGTCTTAAATCTTTCGCAGCAACTCTGCAAACCAACTCCACGTCAAAAGGGACTCAGATGATGAGCTCTGGACATTAAGAGGTTGCTTGATTCAAGATGTAGCTACCATAGTGAGGAGTCTCCTGCCCAGGCTGAATTTGACCATGAACCAGAAGAGCAGGCCGCCACAGAAGAGTTTGACCACTGAGAAGAGGCCTCCGACACCGACGTAGGCAGTGTACTGGACCTGTAGATGGGAAGAAGGGAAAGTAAGGCAGTATGTAGATGACAAAAAAGGAAATTAAAGGTGACAGAGATGGAAAAAGATGAAGGGATGCAGATAAGAGGCGCAGGTGAGGTGAAAATGAAAGATTAAGAGAAAGTGGTATACTGGGAGAAAGAGAGGAGGGATAAAAGTGATAAAAAGAACAGGAGGCAGATTGAAGCAGGGAAAAGAGGAGGGAGAGTTGGAGGAAGGAGGGGGGGGAAAGCAGAGCAGGGCGACAGGAGGCCGAGATGAGATGTCAAAGGGAGTAATGAGCAGTGGGGGAGAAAGTGATGAATCACTACAGATGACTCATCATATTTCCACTCGGCTAGTGGATGGCGGTCTAAACAACATAATGAGATAGTTTCATTAAGGTCTGTGTCTCTGGCTGTGATCAGAACAGTGACAGCTGCTGAAATGGCTGACCTAGTTACAGCAGGTACAGCAGAAGGGAGAAAAGGTTTTTTTTTTTTGCTTTCCACAGTCAGGGGGTGCAACATATTCCAAACAAAAAGGAGAAGTGTGTGTTTGTGTCCTTTAAAGCAGCGTACCACACGGTGTTCCTGAGGTACATACAGATAGACATTAGCCGCTCTCAGTCCTTCTTGTCCAGAGGCAGGCAGAGCAACGCATTTCAAAGAATGCCCAGTTATTTACTGCCTCAAACAGGGCATGCAAAATTATTGATTATGCAGTCTCGAGAGGCTTCATACCTCGGGGTTTAGAAAAGCACCGAGCTGTTAGATTAGAAAAATGCACATTAGCTTCGACGATGAGGTGACTGTAACCCTCATCACACGGCTGCAGATATAGTCTGTGGATTTGAATGTGACCGAGGCCTTCAAGTTACGCTACATCAGCATCACAGCAAACGAGTCACTATGACCTGCGGTGTTAACACGCAATTACAGTTTAATTTGTTCACATAAATATTACCATCCTGTCCAATTTCCATAGTACAGACTGCTGCGGAAATGTTGGAAAGAATGCTGAAGAGCTTAAATCACGACTTTGGAACTTTGGCTGAACGGCAGCAAATTAGGAGACAAGCAGTTTTAACAGGACAAGGGTAAAATTGATCTTAAATTTAAAGATGCTCCAATGAAAATCCAGTTTTTAACCTCATTAGCATGTCCACATGGTGTTTTTTATTTTTTTTTTTTAATTATAGAAGACATAATGAGTGAAACTTTCTGTATTATTATTCTTGTTCATAATCAGTTTTCACTTTAACAAGCGTGGCTGAATTACTCCAATGTTACCACTTGAAGCTTAGAGTAGTTTTACAGTGTTTGAGGAGAGCTGGTGTGCTCGAACTGCAATGAATAAGGAAGGGTGGGAGGAGATGAGTTGAAAGCAAGCAGCAGTGTAGAGTTACATCCAGGCCAGTCTAAGGCTGGACGGGAATACTTTAACATAACTCTGATGCAATGTGATAGACAGAGATGAGTCTATCAATGAGGGCCATAATCAATGACCAGAAAGGGACTTTGATCAGTAGCACAAGTAGAAAAGTAGCACAGGATCAGCAGTTTGCCACCAAAGCTTCCACTCGATTACTTCAAAGTAGTTCAGTGCTTCAGGAAGCTCCCATCGCCTGTTATTTATTCTTTCACTTTTTGGCAGCATTCACAAGCTTTAAAACAGCTAATCAATGTTTTTAATAAGATAATAAGAATTAGTTCAGACCTGTAGCGACTAACATACAGAGAGTCATCAGCTGGATTTGCAGCTCCGCATGACTTAAAGAAGCTTTGCGGTGAGTTTAGCTTTCTAATCTATTTCTTTATCCGTCCACTTGTCTCATTTTCAGCTCAGACAGGCAAGTGCCCCATACACTACCTGTTTAGGCTAGGTTAGCCACCAGCTACTGTGGAGAATTCAGCAGATATTTCTCTGCCTGTGACAATTTTAGTTGACCTTGAGACCAGCTTGGTTTGCTGTATGCTACTCTGTGTGGTGTACAATAAACCTACTGTGTCATGATTATTTGGTACTAGAGAAATTTAGGGAGTGTGGTAGTTGGATTAGAAATTCACCACGCTACAGGACATCCTTCTGTTTCAAGCTCTTACACTAATTAAAAGTAAGTGGCAGTGAAGCGCCAGAAAAAGGAAAAAAAAAACTGTTTAAATCTCACTGCAAATGTTTGATGAGGAAGCAAACGCACTGCACACATTTCTAAGCCTCATAAAAGTGTAACTGCATGTAAAGGAAATCTCCACACGGCAGGTTAACGACGCTGTAATAAATAACAGAAAACAACAAGTCAGTTCCTGCGTCGTTATAATCTCACCGGTGACTGCTGTTCCTCCTCGTATAGGAAACGCTGGGTTCTCTTAACGACTGACGGGTCAGAGCCCATAAACGGGATGGCATATTGCTGCAACTCCTTGCTGAAAAACAACAAGCCCCTGGACACACACACAGATACACACACAAGTTACTCAAAGAGAAAGCAAAGTGGTCTTCACTCACCAAATCTCTCTCTGCTTGCAGCCTCAGCACCGAAGTATTCAGGCTCATTTCATCCATTGATAGTCTCCTAAATCTGCCTCTCCATCCCTGCCAGGCTCCACGTTCCAATACAATCTCATTACACTGAATGTAAATCACTCTGCCAGACAGTAACAGTCTCCAAATCGCAGTTGTCTTGCAGAAACTTTGTACCTTTGTGTGGTTTGGATTTTTATACAACCACTTAAAGAGCCCATACTACGCTTTTTTTGGTTTTTGCCTTTAATTCAGGGTGTTAGAAACCTACAACTCCCACTCCAAAGAAGTCCAGGCTTTTCTTCTGTTTCTTATGCATTTCACCATGTAACACATTTGCACAGTGTCTGACTAGCAGCTGGTTTGATCCTCAAACAAAGAACAAGCAGCTTCCTCACAGTCAACCGTTATCTTCTCAGTAGAGCCATATCTGTTGCCGTTACATCTAGAGATGCAAATTTTGAACAATTTTCTTAACGGATAGGCAGCAGCCCTTATCAACCAATACTTGGTTAATCATTAACATGAAATAAACTCATTGGATATCATTCCATGTACTGATGATGCTGCTTTACTGGTGTAGACAATCAGCTGCTGGACCACAGTGACGCTGTTAAAGCAAACTGACTGGTAGGCATTAAGTGTCACGGTAGACTATCTCATGGTGGCGCTTTATGAGCTAAACTCCCACAGTGCTCTCGCTAATGCTCTCCGTTTGCCAACATGGAACTGCTGGTAGTCCAAGTAACTGCCCCCTCAGGTTGCAATGGTCGTAAACAGTAGAAAGGCTCCACATGATGGCATAACCAGGTATTGCAGCAAATATATATTTTGACATGCAAGTCCTACATTGCCTGCCTTATCGTTTACATATATTTTCGCGGGTTAAATTCTTAACGCCAATCAATCTATTAACCTATAATCACTACCATCCTGAGGCACATCCCTATACTCATAGATCTGGGATTACAGACATATACAACATAGCTTTGCTGTTGTTGGGCCAGCTGACCAATCAGAGCAGCCCTAAAGAGACAGGAGCTAAAAAAGAGCATTTCAAACAGACTGTGAAAAGAGATGCTGCAGTAATGTACAGTATGAGAGAACTAATGTTTGATTTGAAGATTAAAGCATGCAAAAATATTATAGTAGACCCCAAAAATAAAATAAGCCGGTAAATGAGCACAATACGGGCTCTTTCAAGCTGACCTTGTCTCTTCTATGTAAAGCAAGTTCGGAGGCCCTGAGGCTAAACTAACTAGTTAAAGTTTTACTTTTTGCAGCAAATGTCCATGACAGTGCCTGCATTTGCCTAAACAGAAGTACAATTAAAATAAAGGCAACAGTAATTAGAATATTATATTCCAGCTTTCACTTCAGACTATTGAAATGTAGGCCAAGTGTAAAAACCAGACACTCCGCTTTCAGTGGGAAATCCCCCTCTGCTGTGCACTGAGGAAACATGTCTCTTTCTTGGCCTGTCGCTGCCAAGCTCCTCATTCCAATAAAAACGCTACAACGTAAACTAAAGTGTTTTCAGCAGACAGTAATTGCTCAGTAATGGCCTCACCTCTTTTTGACCTTGGCTCCCACCACGGGCAGCGGCTTGTGGCCAAACTTCTTCCTCAGCTGGCGAAGGGAGCCGCTGTCTGCGAAGCCGTACACTGCAGACTGCCAAGTGGCGTCGTGGCCAGACGACCCCTGCAAAGGGTGAGAGCTCCTTTAATCATGTCACTGTCCAGGAAGCTGGCGCTATCCAAGAGTCCCCTTCAATTTCCCCCAAATAAAGGCTTAATTTGAATAAACAACACATTTCTTCTGACTGACAGATTCAAGTAACCTGAGCCTGCTGGGACCACTTTACTCACTCTAGAAAAATGTCACATCTGAAACTGTGGCTGAACAAAAGCAACCAGTAGCATGTTTTGGGTATATATCAGCATATTTGGTTTCAAGGGAAATTAAAAAATGGTTTTATAATAACACAAGGTCCCAGCAGGAGGACAGTATCTCTGCTACAGTCACTGTATCTGCTCGCTACATGTTTTCTCTGAGTCTCCCCAGAGCTTCTTTGAAATTACCTCTCTGTATCACATGGATATTGATTTCTGTGCTCCATACTGATGTTTGCTGAGAGGAAGGTTTAGGAATTTAGTTCACATCTATTTTTCTAATCACTGAAAGTAAAATGCAGGATCTTAACTCAAATATGCATTTCAATTGTGTGCTTGCATTGATATTTTGTGACATTTTTCAATCTATACCATCCACTCAACAAAATATTTTAATATTCACAACACCTCTGCCGTCTCACTGATGTAAAACTTGCACCAATAACTTTACTATTAAATTCAGAGCAGAAGCTGTGATTGTTAAGTCTACCTGAGGCCCGCTGCTTATGTTCAAGAAGCTCTCCACTGCTGTCAGAGTTCCTGAAATCAAAACAAATCATTAATGAGGTTCCAGTTAAGACATGTAGCTTTTCAGAATGCATTTAGACTCATGAGTTCAGCAACAAAGACCAAATACACAAGCATTCTTGCAAAAACAATCTAATATTTAGAATATAAACTGGACACAGCAGGGCATGGTAACGATTAATGTTACACACTCCAATGTCCAATTTTTAAGGTTTCCACCTTTCTTCTTTGCTAAATGAGATGTTTTGTTTCCCACCTTTGAACTGTCTCTGCGTGTAGAGAATCCCCAGGTCTGCCGGTATGGAGTCAAATCCACAGCTGCCAATCACATAAATTCCTTTGTCCAAGGCCTTAGTGTGGTACTCCAGCTGCATGCGCTCCAGAAACTATAGAGGATGGGCGTCCATCCACACATGTGCACAATAACAAATGCAGACATGTCAGTGCAAGCTGTAAAAGACACTAACACAATGTACTGATTCCCAGAAACAGAGAAATGGACTATTAACTCCATCCTACCTGAGGCTCTCCACAGATGTCTATGTAGTGAGCTCCATTTTCTACACAAGCTTTAACCACTGGTTCACCATAAAATCTGTACTGAGAGGAGAAAGAGAGCATGAAGAGATCTGATCAAACACAAACCACACAATCTGGATTGTCATCTCAAAGTGGACTTTAGTGTCCAGATAACAATACTTACTGGTCCCACACAGTTGAGAATCACCACACCTTGTTGGCACATGATGGCCAGTGATTCCTCGATAGACACATCAGCAACGATGATTTCAATTTCTGTCTTCAACTCAGGCATGGCTGATGAGAGGAGGGAGAAAAAAGAGATTGTCTTTCACTAACTCTAAATTCTACAAAGCCCTAACATTCAAAATACATTTAAAAATGTGTTGCTTTGGCTCCAATGCAGCTAAAGTTAAAATCAGCAGTAAAGATAAAACCAGAAGTAATAAGAAATGTAGATAAAACCAGAAAGAAAATACACATTAAGGGAGGCACTGAGAAGAGATGTTAAACAAGATACTGATATCTCCAACTCCAGGGACAAGCTTGGGGAAAAAAAAAAGAAAATTGGGATCGATAAGATGTACGTTTAAGGAAAGAACTCAAATCATATAATCCAATGAAATAAATCTGAGGATCCAAAACATTGCTCAGTGCAACACTATGTTTTGTCTATCAGCTCGAGGCAGCAAATTGTTCTGATTTATTCATACATTATTAGTGATTTGCTTGGGCTATTGTGTTATAGGACTTCATGGGTAAACATGTTCCCCTGACTGGCACCTTCATTTCTATTAAAACGGATTGCTATTAAATTTAATGATTACAAAATGAGCATTAATGACTCGTAAGATAGAAACTCTTACTCCAGCTGGTATGAAAGGTCAGCAAAACAAGTGTGGCTCCGTCATTCTCAGATGTTTTTTCATAAGGCACACCATCACACATGATAATAACTGTGTAAATAATGATAAGTAACACTAATTTCAAAGCACTAAGTTCAAGAATCTCTGGTCTTGCTGCTTGCATTCACTGTGATATTATTGAGAAACAAACTGGATTAAACATAGAAGGAAAGTGAGATGACCTTACTTTGCCTACACTGTAAAAATAATAATAATAAATGTTTTTCACTGTTTTTAATTCTGGTTTGTTAAAAAGTAGTAAAATCACAAAAGAAAATTACCTATTAACCTGTTAGCCACAAAAAAATAAAAAATAAAATCCACATCAAAAATCTGTATTTTATTTTTTTTTACAAATCGTGATTTGTCCTTCATCCAAAATGTTTGACTGTGAAATTACTATTTTTGACTGTATTTAAATCAGCAACAAAAATGCTTTTAAAGATGCATATTTTTTTACAGATGTTTGCCTTTATTTGAAAGCAAAAATATTTGTATAAAGAAATGAAAGCAATAAATATTTTTACACTATTATTTTAGACTTTCTTTGTTTTACTAAATTGTGACACGTGACCATAAAACTACATTTTTTCTTTTTTAAAAAGCTTTATTTAAGTAAGCAAAATAATAATAATAATACATTTTTAAACATTGCAACATTCCGCTTTTTAACAAATCTTTTCTGGATATTGGTGTTTTGCAGGGCAGAGCACAGTGTATGCCATTAACTATTATTATTACTCTGAAATAACTTGAAAACAATGCAATTAAAATGTTGAAATCTAAAGACTGCTTGGTGAGTCCTGAATGTTCCAATATCCTACCAGATCCTGTTATTTTACAGATTTTAATATCCAGTAAAAAGTACATGTTGACTGCAAAGAGAACAAGTCAGACTTTATATAATGTTCTCAATGAACATCTCCATTTTTTTATTACTAATAATAGCATTTTACTGCATTCAAATCAACTAAAACATACTATTTTGCAGATGTTTGCTATTATTCTCCCAGTTTTTAAACTTTACAGTAAATCAACATTTTTAAATTATTTTTTTCCTGCACAGATTTTTTTTTTCTGCAGTTGCTATTTTTACAATGTCGAGCACATTGTCTCATGTTTTACATTCTTATCACTTTGAAACAACTTTTTAAAATGGTGCAATTAAAAGGTCAAAATCTAAAGGTTAAAGGATTTCAGCAACTCCGCATAAAATATTTTCTTGCTTACATCTACACATATGTATGAAGTTTTAAGGATCAGTACATGTCCTTAAATGCATGTGACATTGTGGCTACAGCATAAATAATAAATGTCCATTTATCATTATTAAATTACTTCTAGTCCCACAGAGAGTGATTTAAGCTGCTCAACAGCCTGACCTGTGCATTTCCAAATCTAGCTGGAAGGTCTGGAGCAGAACAAGAACTAATACTTAGAGGTCAAGTTCAGAATTGTTCACTTCTGGCTAAAAACACCACAAACAAACCACAACAACAGCTCAGCCTGCTGCGTCTCTCAGTCAGCAGAGTGGCCTCTCCTGCGGCAGTGAAAGCGGGCTGACATTTAATCATTAGGAGGCTGACAGCAGACGCTCTGCTCTCGGTTAGCTACTGAACACCAGCCTGTCACACATACACAGCCTCCCCGCGGCTTGCTTCAGCACTTCCTCCAGACGCCGCCTGCTTCTCCCGGCCACGGCCCATTTCAGAGAGCTGCCCCCGGGACTCTCCGCGGCGCAGCGGGCGACCTCTTCCACGACAAACTGCCCGGTGAAGCCGGTGGCGCCGAAAACAATGATGTGGTACGGTCTGCTGGGGGTGACGGCCGCCATTGTTAGCGTTTTTTAGTTTAGGGGCCCGCCTGGCGCATGCGCACGGCAACGTTCGGCCGGGTTCTGTGCGCTGATTGGCTGAGCGGCATACGTAACTGACGTAAAGTAACAAACTTTCACCTGTGATTAATGTATAATCAGCAGCTAACAGGCCTCATAACAGAGGAAAAAATGTATGGTAGGAGTTATTTTGGAGTAATTTTATAGCTAAAATTTACATGAACGCTCTTCTGCTTTACTATTCGTACACTATATATAAAATTAGGAAAACAGCAGAGGTGTTTGTAGGGTTTTGACACACTGGGAGAGATTTTAACCTGATCAAAGCACGTAAGTGCACAATTTTCAGGTTATTTTAGTGTGAAATAATCTAAAGTGTAAATGTAAAACCTGTAATTGATTTATCCAGCAGCAAACAGGCCTCACAACAGAGGAAAATTGTATTTTAGGAGTTATTTTTGAGTAGTTTGAAGATAAAGAATTGAAATTAAATCTCTTTTACTTTACTGTTCTTTGACCTTTTATAAAATTAATAAAATAGCAGAGGTGTTTTTAGGGTTTTGACACACTGGGGGACCAGCTTAGCAAACAAATGTATAGATTTTAACCTGATAATATCAGCCAAATATACAAATTTCAAGTTATTGTAGTGTGAAATAAATCCAAAATGTGAAACACTACTCCAGGCAAAGGTCATCCTTCTCTTTTTTGCTTAGTCAATGTTCCACATTAATATCAGACTACGTGCAGGCCAGACTTCAAACTGTGTGATGATTTACAGCTATAATCATTTGTAAAGGTGCGCCGAACAAAAAAAATATTTGAGAACCACTGAGCTGGACCAGGGTTGCCAACTTTTAGCTAACAGCTCAACTAAGACTGGTATATTTTGTTGCATACTATAATAATGCTCATTTTATTTTTCAATAATTAATAATCATTTGAACATAATTTAATAGTAATATGCTTGATCAACGCTTGTAATAGTCTAAAATAAGTGGTGGTGCTGGTAAGGTTAAAAAAATAGCTAACAAGGGTGTTTTGGATCCACAAATTGACTTCACTGAAACTAGTTTCATCCTTAAAAGAAGTGTAATCAGTGGTGATTATTTATCTGTTCAGCAGTTGTAGATGTCCGTGTGATCTTAAAAATGTCTCTGCTCAAAGCTTTCCTTTATGTGACTAGGGGTTTTTTTTCTGTCTGGTTATATTCCGCTGGATTTATTTCTGTCATTGATTTTATCTTCTTTTTACACTTGTCCTCTGCTCCCTTCCCCTTAATGTGAACAAATACATCATCTTTATTACCATAGCTATTATTTGTATCAGAGGATGGTATTATAAAAACATTTCTGTGCAAAGCAGTTAGGAAATTTGACAGTCAAGAGCAAAAAAAAAAAAAAAAACAAAACCAAACAGAAAATATATATATTTGGAACCAGAGCTATTCATTAAACATTAAGCCTCAGTGCCATCTGTCATGACGGTACTCTTACACCATGAAAACAATTAGCAGGAAGCCTACAAATTATCCTAAGTGTCTGACACACAGGTCGCTCAGACTTCGATAAATTACAGACATACTCAGTAACCTACAGCTGCAATCATGGGTGTAGATTTTGTTTGAACTCTAAGCGTCCTCCTCCGGGAAATTTTGAACATCAAACACCTAAATTCCTTTATCCTGGTGAATATGTATGTACCGATTTGTTCCTTTTCTGCATCAATCTATTATGTAAATGTCTTTATGTAAAAGAAAACCCAAAATTCAAGCACCAGATGACAGTTCAAAATATAAATGAACATAATGCAGTCAGGCTCTGAGTCACTGCATGCTGGTCTTAAGTATTTAACTACTGTAGATCTCATTTAATATGATCCCTGCTGAGTCAACACACATTGCCTATAGACTGGATGTACTCTTCTATCCTTTTTTGTGTCTTGTTTGGGGAAGCAATCTCTTTTAACGTGCATGTCGGGCCTACTCCCATCAAGAATAATGAATTTTAATGAATGTATAAACCCCCAGACTTCAACAGTTCATGTGTGTTTAGAATGGGCATTTTCTAAATATCAAAAAGGACGTTTCCCCTCCTCCCTGAAAAGTACGCCCGTCTGTCTGCACCGACAGATTGTATTCACACTATGCAGTACTGCAGCAGAATGTGGGTGAATTTTCTAGATAAAATGGTTTTTGATTGTGCGGTCTGTAGTGACATCTAGTGGCAACGCTTTGGAACTATACTCAGAGTGAAAAACCTCAAGAGTATGCAAGAAAGACTAAATGGGACACATTAATATAACGTTTAAAAAAAAAAAAAGAAAACACAAGTGCAAATATTTCTTATTTAATAGATTTTTGTATTCCCTTGTGGACACAATTGAACATAAATATCGAAACCTAAAAACGTGGATTGCATAAAGCAACACTTGTCGGTAAACAATATCCACAGTGACAACACAGAGGTAACATTTGTCACTTTGCAAACATCTGGAGTTCAAAAGGAGAAATAAAAACTTCAGTACAAAGCAATAAATGGATAAAGGAACATGCTGGTCAAATTTAATTGTCTCCATTCTAATGAAATGTGGTGTTTACAGGCTTGTTTTCTGTTGTGTTGCTTGAACCAGCCAGGAAACACAACTGTTGGTCCATAAAGCTCTGCTTTTTGGATAAAATGATGCCTGTTTTTTTGGTTGTTTTTTTTTTTTAAGTGATCTGATGTCCAAAGCACACACAATCTAAGCAAATATTCTTTCTTTTAATATCGCAATGTAGCTGTTTGCACACTGAAGGAAAAAACTGAGTTAACCACAAATCGTGATGTAAAACAGAAAGTTTAGGGCGACATACATAAGGATGAACATGAAAACACTGAGCACCAAAAGTATAAACACAGGGGGAAGTGCCTGAGTTTGTGGAGCGGCTGTTTATATCACTGTATTGCATACTGATGATAACGTCACACAAATGTACCGTGTTTTAAGCTGGTAGGTTTGATTTTTTTTGTTGTTGTCTGTAATATGCTGCAAAGTCTTGATTTTAAAAGAGCACTAAGTGTCAAATACATGATAATGCTTCTCTTTGAACTGGTCATAATAACATGAGAAGAGGAATGTTACGAGTAATCACCTGTATTGAGGTAAACATACAGTTATGAAAGTACAACTTTTAGCAAAAGGATCATAAAAGCTTGTTTGTATCAGTGTTTATACAAAATAATCACATTTTTGTATCCTTGCAGTTTTTTAAAATGTGAAACACCTACATTTGAGGGCTGCAACTAGTGATTATTTTCATTGTTGTTCATTAATGTGTCGATTTATTCACTTGATTAGTGGTTTGGTTGGTTTTGTCAAAATATATTCAGTTGACTGCTGTAGAAGAATATTCATTTTTCAGAAGCTGTAATCACAGAATTTCTACTTTTTTTTCTTTAAAAAAATATTCAAATCCATTAATCAATTATCAAAAGTGGGGATTAACTTAGTAGTCGAAAAGTTGCAGCTCTCTTGTATGCTGTCTTTGATAAGCGTAGACCAATGCAGTGCCCTCATGTAGCACATCTGGGTCTTTAACAGGTCAAAAGATGATGGTAGGATTAAGTTTAAAAGACAGAAAAGAAAGATCATCATTGGCCCATTAGTCATTACATATTTTTTTTTAAAAAAACAATCACACATGTATGATTTGTACTATTGATTCTATTGACAGCGTCTCTCTGCATAAGTCTAAATTAAACAAGAAAGCTTCTGCAACAAATAAGACGGACTCATCCACAGTTACAGCTGCTACAACTGTGAGGAAAACACGACTACATAGATAAACTACGTCTTCTGGTTCAGTATAAATATAGCTGAGAGTTGTGAGCCCTCCTCGTGTGGTGCCTTTAACATCCACACAGACAGTAGTAAACAAGTAGTTTCTTCTTCTTCTTTTTTTTTTACTCTCATCACATCACACAACATGCACACGTTTTTCTTCTGAGGTGAAGAAATTCAGACAGTTTTTACTGTTTGGTGTTGCTTTAAGCACCCATTTAGTTATACATAAACCATATAGTCCATTTAATCTAATTCACAAAGGTTGCAAGCTCTTTTCAGACCCCTTGTTTCAGTCTCTGTTGATGCTTTAAACTCTGGATGGCAGCATCGGATTAAAGCTTGTAGGTCCCCGGTAGGTCCGTCACGGCACAAACGTCTGAAAGCAGCTCTTGTCTTGAACACAGGTGAAACAAAGCGTTTTAAGTCCGGAGGGGAAGCCAGCGTCCGAGCCCTTCAAAGAACCTCCGTACGTTCATGACGTAGAAGTCGACGTTGTGGGTGAAGTCGGTGCAGATGTTGGAGTAAGTGTCCACCAGGGTGCAGTAGAGCGCGGTGCCTCCGATGCTGATCACCACCGTCACCAGACACAGCAGCAGCAGGATGAGGCAGGAGTCTCCGCCTACCTCATCTACAAGTAAGAACAGGACACATGTTATATATAAATATGTTGACGGAGCCTCCGTAGCGTGCAGATTACATCATCAGTGGTGCATTTTTTTAAAGGAATCCTCCACACTGTTGATGTAAGAACAGTGCTGGTGATTCTCCTGCTTTCTTAATTTGATCAACACACCGGACAGTAAAACAAAAATGCTTTGCACTGTTTGTTGTACCTTGCTCAATGCCGTCATCTGGCTCACTGAAGCGAACTTTGCGTTTGGAGCTCTGTTTAGTCTCAGTATTGTTCGGGGGAGGCAAACCATCCAACGACGCTCTTCTCCTCTTCAGAATAGAGACCAAACCATCCGGAGAGGAGTTCTGAAGGAGACACACAGATGAGAAGAATGAGAACCTTCAGAACCCCAAAACCCACCAGTGGGTTTGAAAGGCATGCAAAAAATGTAAATTTGCACCATTTATCAGTGCAAGAAACTGCAAAAATAGAAGGAATTGTCAGATTTACAAGTTTCCAATAGACATTAAACTCATCATATGTGACATAGGGTTTCATCAGAAATATTAATCAAATTCAAAGTTGTCATATTTCATAAAAATCACAATATTCTACATGTCTCGTTCAAAAGCATGCTGAAAAGTAAGTGTTTGCATCAGATTCTGTTAAAAATAAAAATAAAAAATTGGCTCCTTGGCCCAACCCAAAAAGCCATGACTGACTCAGCTGCAAACAGCAGTCATGGGACAAATATTCAGGGACTTTTCGGCTGAACTGCAGGCTGTGTTTACAGAGAGAAGATAGGAGATTGAGAACAAATCTAAACACACTTGATCAACAAAGTAAGTGCAGCATGGCTAGAAAATGGTATACAAAGCAGCCAGTTGTTGGAAGATATATTCAGCACGGTGAAATATATTCCTGGATGCCTTTAGGTGCTCATTAAGTTTGACTAGCAACCCTGAAGAGACATTCTTGTAGTTCTACATGTATTACAAAACCAATGAAAATATGATTAGGATTATTCACTGTAGGCCTGGCCCAATGTACTTTGTTAAATATAATATATGAAGTGTGCCAGCTTGACTAAATATAAAAATGCAAATAACAAAAAATATCCAGCTCCAAACTTGAATCTGGCTCCTGTACACAGTATGAAGATTGTCCTTTTCCCAAATCCCAATTTGGCATTAATTCATTTGGCATTCTGTGGCCAGAAGACATTATGATAATCATTCATCTTTCTCTGCACCGCTTTAAACATGACCTCAGGAAACATATTTAACAGTGCCAGTACATTTTGCATCTTAGTCATATCCAGTAATTGTATTTCCAAAAGCATCCAAACAGTCACTGATGAAAAAAATCTACTGAAAAACATAAATGGTCAGAAAAGTGACTAAACTTTGTTTTTCTTAACTGCAGGTAAAAAAAATAAATAAATAAAACTATGTTTATTGTAAGAATGGGAACACAAACTAGTGGACTGTTTTCAGGTACATGCAGGGTTTTTCCTGCATAGAGGAATTTTTGGCACCTTCCAGAGGTTTTAGCAAGAGCCAAAGGAAAGTCAATGGTGCCAAAATGATAAGAGAATAAAAACAAAACATACTTTGTAACCCGTGTTGTTAATTGTGGCTTCAGTTATTCAAGGATAAAAGAGATTTTTGTTCGTAAATGGTCAGAAATAACAGGAAAATTCATAGATTTCATCAAATATGATATCACAGACTGATTACCTTTACTGTAGGTGGACAAATAATGTTTATTTTCATGCATAATTACCCCACAAAGGCCCTTTTCTGCCATCGAATGTCTGATTCCGACTAAAAGCCTTTGTTATGTGACACAACTTAAAAGCATAGCTGGTCATTTGGATTTAAATAGGGACGGTAAAATCACAGCATGAAATGCAATAAATGGCATAATCAGTGAACAGGCTCCATTAACAGACTAATGTAAACTGTACATTTGGTCTCCGTCAACCAGCAGCGTTCCAGATGAATTGGAGCTGAGCCACAGAAGCTTGGCTGAGACAAACAGAGAAGAGAGAAAGCACAGGTGCAGCAACTCCAAGTACAAATTATTCTGTGTGTTGGAAAGACTCAGCAGGTCTGACTAATGTTTCAGTTGGAGGTCATGATTAGAGGAGCTCAGTTTTCAAAAGACTCAGAAGTAGAGGAAGGCACTCCTCGCATTAATACTATTATACATTGCAATACAGAGCTTATGCGTGACCTGTTTAGAATCTCTGAACTAACCACAGAGCAGAAACAACCGAGTGCACACTCATATGCTCATACTACTGAAATAGAGTAATCTCTCAAGCTGTCAGCCTCATCTGCTGCTATGATATATAGGTCAATTATTCTGTGAGGTCAGTGGGTCAATAGGATGCTGAACATTGCCCTGGTCAACACATGCAGTTAAATATAGACGTCGTGCAGAGCCACATAAATATTTTATGTATGTATAGAAAAACACAGCAGGGTTTGAGAGTTTAAGATGTGTCCTCATCCTTGTTTACAACAGGCACTTCACTCAGAAATACAACTGTCAAATCCACCATCACGCTAAAGGAAAACAGAATCAATAAAGTTGTTTTTTGCAATTTTTTGCAAACAAATAATCAAAGAAATTCAATTTTTCTTTTTCATGATGTATGCCATTATAAGTTTGTCATACTACACAACAAACATTTCTGAGTTGTCTTTACTTCTAGTCATGGTTATGCTGTTTCCATAGAGGTGCAGGGTTTTATATTGCAGTAAAAAAAAAAAAAATAAGCCCACAGTGAGTAAAAATGCCACTGGAGCAAAGAAACCGGCCAGAAACTGCCCGGAGTTCAGAGGGTTAATGTGCTCTCAGAGGACACAGTGTGGTCTTTTCACATATCGCACCATCAACAGTGATCTATTGTAGAGGCTATAAAGCGGTGCTGCTGGTCACTGTGTTGGCCTGCTGAGGACTGAATGAGCAGAGAGCTGCCACACTAAATGGCTTATTTTGCGAGCTACTCCACTGTGGTTTGACATGTTTCTGAATAAATCCCTGTTCTGTTTACTGTTGTTCATTTTAGTCAAAAGCCCACCAGATGTGTACAAGACTTGTTGCCTCAGCTTGTGCTCATAAAGCAAAACCACTAGTGCAAGTCAGTTATGGAACATTTTGTCAAATTGTGCCTTTAAGTCAGTCAGTGTTATCATGAACTGTCCTTGCTGTTCTGCCCAGCTGGAGTTCATTCCTGCTCTGTGCGCTAATGTTTAATTTCTTAAATTTGTTGCACAATTGTTTAGAGAATGGGGGGACAATGCAATATTTCAAGTAGAAAAACTTGAAAACTCTCATGAAATGTGACACGACATTTACAAAGAAGAAGAGCCCCACCCGGTCAAACCTCCGCTGGATTACGTAACAGCACTGATCCTAAAGCTATCGATGCACGGCCTGCAGCCCGCATCGCTTGTTTTGAAAAGCTCAGATTGCATCCACACCTCGAGGAAGAACCGGGCCCCTTCAGCTCAGTGTTTAAACCACGACGTGAGGTCACAATGCTTGATAATCTAACACATTTGGCTGAAAAGAAATCCCAAGTGTGAGGCCACACCAGTGAACATGGGTGGAGATTTACGATGATCTCACAAAGAGGCCAAAGGGATCATTTATGGGAGTGTCCCGGCAACGTCAAAGAGCTGGTCAGGATGTAAAACAAATGGTTTCTGCAGACGGAAAGAGTAGTGGACAGTGAAAACAGACGAGGGAGGAAGGTAGATGCATGCAGAAGATGACAGACTTACAGAGTGGAGAGGAGAAAGGAAAGAAGCCAGGAAGGACAGATGATCGGGTCATGCAGGGATGCAGAGCAGAGAAAAAATTCTATCATGTTTGCAGTGCATTTACATTTAATACGAGTCAAACTGGATCGTGCTCATCAGGTATTACATCTCTTTGACCAGTAATACTAATCAGGTGCAAAGGCAGATAAAAGTGTATTATTCCTACCCCGTCTGAGTGGGACAGTTTGGCCAGGTCCTTGTCAGAGGCCTGAGGGACTCCTGTCGGCCACTCCACCTTCACCTCCTCCTCCTCCGGAGTGTCCTCACACTGCTCCTCCTCCTCTTCTACTTCCTGTCCTTCCTCATATGTCTCCTCCTCTCCTCCGTCCTCGTCCTCGTGGCCCGTCTGTGGCGACTCTGAGTTCAGGTTTTGCTCTTTTTCTTCATTACAATGTGCTGTTTCAGGATTGTTGACAAGAGTGTCAAAGAAACAAAGGTCATTGGTAGCTGATTAATGGTTATTTCTAAAGTTTTGTTGGATGTAAAATTACTGCATATTGATACAGAGCGTCCATGTGTATTAAAGTGTAGCAAAGTATATTGTAAGACCATCAGTAAATATCTACAATAATGTATCTGTTATATATCACTATCCAATTTCCCATTGTTTAAATAAAAAGCTGCACTTGTAAAATGTAGTGCAGTCACCTTTTATTTTTATTTCAGTGAACCCAAACTGTAATTAAGAGTAATTGATAAGTGATCTCAGACATATTAGTTTGTGGATTTACAGTATCTAGAAGCTAAATGCTGGATTTGGATGAAAAAAGAAAACAGGTAATTTCAAATTTATCAAGCTGAGGTTTTGGTTGGTATGTTAGCTGTCAGTGTTGCAATTAAATTACATTTTAATGACACTAGTTCAAGGGTCCAGACTGACTTCTTACACTGGTTGCACTGGTGCTTGTAGCATTTTTCTTTAGGTGCACCCTTATTTTTCACAAAGCTAACTTCCACACACACTGGGAATGTCTTACCACATTATGTAAAAGATCTTACCCAGTTCTTTTTCTTAACGTGGGACTGAAAAGTTAGTCAAATGTAGCTCTTCTTTGACTATATTACAAACGGTATTACATTTTATTGTAATTTCTGTATCCTGCTCTGGTTTGCTGCTGCCTGGTGCTTTTAAGTGCTTCAGGGAGTTGGGCTACTCTTCTCTTAGTTTCTTGTGCTGTTAAATGTTTCATTTTGGAATGTCAGCCTTGCAACAGCAAAAAGCTCTGCTCCCAGTCATGCTTTGGCTGCGCTTTTTGCAATGAATGGAATGCATAACATTGGCTGATTTATCATGTCAGTGTTTCCCAAAGGTTGAGAGTTTACTGGTGGTGAACGGTGGTGCGGCGTGACCGATTGTGCATGCAAAGACTCCTCAAATTTAGGGGAGGAGAGTGTAAGCCAGGTTGTTTTCTGAAGTTACAGTTTGCAGATGTTCCATGAATGCATCTGAAATATCTGTAGACTAGTCAGCCAGTTCAGCAATTCTGGTAGACAGTTAGTCTGTAGTTTCCACTCAGTTACTGCAGTGCCCACAACTCAGACAGGTGTGGGTCCAAAACTTAGTTTGAGACGAATAATGTGAGATTTACCACAGTTAAAACCAAATAATTGTGTTTACCCGGTCAGGCTGCCCAGAGGCAAACACCTGCAAAATGTTAGGTGCACTAGTGAAACCAATTAAAAAGATTTCTGACCGCAGTCTCAGGCTGGAGGCCTGTAGCTGCTTGTATCCAGGGATGGCAACATCACTCTATCAGCCAGTCATCCTCTTTTGTTCAGACTGAAATACCTCAACTGGACGCATTACTGTCACGTTTTGTACAGACAGACGATGAAACCAACTGACTCTGGCTCCTGACTTTACATGCAATACCACTGTTAGATATTTTCATTTAGGTTAAATGTCTTGACAACTATTGGATGGATTGTTCTGAAATTCAGTAGTCACATTTTTGTCCCTCCAGGGGTAAATTGTAATGATTTTACCGATTGCTTCAGCTTTTCTTCTACTACCATACTTGCCACAAAATTTCAAATTACCAAATACCTAAAAAACTAATAAGGATGTGACTAAACATTCAAAGATTGCTACATTTGCAAGTCATCACCAGAAATAGTTGGTTAAAATAAGTTTGCATTTTGTTATTGTACAGTGCCAGGTAACTGTTGCATCTAATGCCTAGAAAAACATAAAACCAACACAGTTTGGCAGTACTGGAAATTCGCAATTAGATCATGTGTAGGGTTTGTCAGGATAAAGTGGCAAATAACAACTTAACCAGAGCAATGCGAACACTTTCTGCAAAGGCATGGGGACCTTCGTGTGACTCACTGGATCTAGACTTCAAGTATAAACCAGCCATTCCTGCTGTGGCTTTTCACTTTGCTCTTGTCTTCTATTTCTGCTATCAGTGTGTTTGCTATGGGAAACAATGGGGATCTTCGAGCAGCAACCGACAGGTTGAAAATTTCATGTTTTGCTAAAAAAATTGGATCGTACAACAAGGCAGTCTTGTTTCTTTTGATGAATTAACCATTTTAATAGCAGTGCCTGATTCTCTGCATACAAATAGTTCACCCAAACAGTTTCTGCGTATTATTTAGCAGAGGCACCATTGCTGCATGCTGGCCTTAGTTCTGCCCAACACAGTTGATACTGGTTCAAATAATACGAGCAAGCCAGAGTGATTTTTTTCCCCCCATAAAAAACAGACTGATAAACAGGTGCAGTCAGACCATTCTCCAGTGCTGTAGAGCTAGGTCTGGCTATGCAAGACTTTACAGGGCTGTTGTCATTGAGTTGTCATGTTTTGTAGGATATGCATGTTGCAAAGTGCTACACATTTTAGCAGAATTTGAAATACAATTTGGTAATTGAAGAATGTGATTTCAGTTTCGGAGTTTGCATGTTCTCCCCATGCAGCGTGGGTTCTCTCCGGGTTCTCCAGCTTCCTTCCACGCAGTCCAAAAACATGCTGAGGTTAATTGGTGATTCTAAATTGTTTGTAGGTGTGAATGTGAGTGTGCTTGGTTGTCTGTCCCCAAGTGTAGCCCTGTGATAGACTGGTGACCTGTCCAGGGTGTCCCCTGCCTTCACCCTAAGTCGGCTGGGATAGACTCCAGCCCCCTGCGACCCTAGTGAGGATTAAGCGGTGTATAGATAATGGATGGATGGATTTCAGTTTCACATTGCTCTTATATGCCTACAATATTTTTTATTGGACTATGTTTTCCTATTTTCTGCCTTATCAACTCATACAAATTTAAATTTCCCTTCTAATCAACATGAAAATTAGTCATGTAGCAGATTGCAAACATCAAATCCACATGCAAACATTTTAGTATGCAGTTTTAGCTCAGTTCGGCCTCACAGAGCTGTTAGCATGAATGTAGACACAGTCTTGCTTGTTCCTTTGGTACTATTCATAAACACTTGTTTACCTTTTTGTAGTGTCTCATTCTTGGTCTGGATGTCCTTCAGCATTGTGTTCAGCTTGTTCTGTTAAATGAAACGTAGTCAGAAACTGATCATGTAAAAAAAAAAAAAAGCCTGAAATTGAGCAAACATCAACACAAGACGAGAAGGTTCATATAATTTACCTGATCCACACTGATGGATGGTCTGAGTGATGCCAAAGACAGATGGAGGCAAAGAGAAGACAAAAGAGATAAAGATCAGACAGACAGACAGGCCGACAGCAGGAGAAGGAGAGAAGAAAAAGGTCAGACACAGATACTGAACTTATTAAAAGCCTGTCCTAAAAATTCATCAAGCTCTTGCAACAGTATCTGGCATCTATTTTTCCAGTCAAATCAAATCCACCTGCACCAGATGACTGTGGGCTGCAGTGACATACCAAGAGAGTCAAAGCATAGGTGGGAGACAATAGCGTCTGGCATGCAGACTTGTGGTATTTGTCTGTGTCGAGAGGAAATTACTGTCCTGCGGAAATTCTGTTTGTGCCCTGTCAGAAATATTGATTTTCCTATTCATTCTTATGTGGGCCTCTGTCTTCACTGTATCCTCACGCTTTATCAATGTCTTTGCTTGGCTTATGTCTCCTCAATGTGTTCTAATGAGACACAAAGATAGAAGTCGATTAAATTAAAGCAAAACTGGAGCTAAATGGTTCCTGTCTGACAGTGATGAAGGTAATGGGAGGAAATGGTGTGAGAAATACTGAGAGCTGTATGAGTTTCCGGTGTCTGAACATGAGCTGAGGCTTAAGAAAGCTCAGAATCAAAGAGGTAATTACACTAAATGTGTGTATTGATGATGTAGAAATGTTGAAATATGAGGAGAGTCTGCTGCTGTGGATACCTGAGGTGAGTTCTGCAGATCTGGCTCAGCGTCTCGATGTGTTTCTGACTGATGGTATCAGGCTCGTTGGGCAAACTGCTCTCCGAGTCCTTCCTCTCGCTCCACTGGCTTTCTGAGAAAACATACAGAGTGCAGGTTCGCGTCTCTTTATCTCAATATTTCTATTTAGGTTTTTGATAGCTGATAATGGCTGAAAGAGGAAGGAAACAGGTGCATGCAGTACCCCAGTTCTCCTGCAGGGCGGCGAGGTTGGAGAGCAGGCGTTCGTGGTAGAGCTTCTCTAACTGGAGGAACTGGATGGCCCACTGGTCTGTAGCACCACCAGTTAAAGAAACAATGCATGATGCTGCACAGTCAATGGCACTATAAAAATCAGTTGTATGACCCTGGCTGTTGATACTTGTAGGAGTTTCTATGCTATGAGCTGCTTTGACAATACAAATAGCTGAAGCTGTTGAGTTGAAGTAATCCAGCAAGACTGTAAAGATACAAGATTAAAGCTATAAGCACAACATTATCAAGTGCAGCAGGGCTCCTTAAATTTTTCAACATAAATCTATACATGCAGACATATACTTGAACTGCCAGGTGGCAAGTGATGGTGGGGCTTTTCGTAAGCAATAAACCAAAAGCAATTATAAATAAATGAAACGCTGGCTACACAGTAAAAGGCCTCAGCTGGCTCGTAATCCAAAGATCAGTTAGAAGATTGAGTTACTTAGGGCCATTTTATTTTAAATCAGTTTGGGGAACAGCATCAACTAAATAGGTTTAATCAAAGTGAAACAACAACATGTCCATTTGCCAGCTACCATTAAGGATAGAAGCAGATAACCATGTTCAGGAAGCAAGGCAGGCACAGGTATATACTTGTTCAGTATGTTTGTGAATTAACACATTTAGTTCTAGTGTTGGTAGACATTTAACTTTTGGCATATGGAGTATTGTAGCCTTTCCGCTGTTGTAACAGATAATACGCAATGTCTCAGCATCCAGATTAGGATAATGTGTAATAAAGAGTAAGAGAAGAAGGTTTTAAAAGATTATTTTAGAGGCAATATCTGCAAAAAGAATAACCCATTTAACCCATTTGCACAGCTTACAATCACCATATATAAGGAGACTTTTTTTTTTTTTTGGGGCATGGTCTGATTAACTGTGTCCCCTGTCTGTTTGTAAATAAGTATGAGCATGCCCCTGATGCCCCTGTCCAGGATTTGTGCCTGCATTTGGACCCCACTCAGTCACTTTGGGGTATTTTCAATACGCTGCATTTTAAATACAAATGTGTAGACAACAGATGTCAGTGTTCTGCTCTCACCTTTTTGTTTAGTTAGGAACTCCGTGCAGGATTAGATTTTTAGTTCTTTTGTTGTTAATATAGACCCAGTAAAGGAGTTTAAAACTTCTAATTAGTTTTGCGTTTATGTTAATGTCCTTTACTTGAGGATCATCCGCTGCCCTTTTGTGATCTGTATTGATTTGTCTTGTCACTCGAATAACATACCTCTTATTATTATATATTCAACTTTTGCACAGCCATGACTATTAGGTTGTTTTTGTGTTACTTCCTTTTCCCGTAGTGAACCAGGCCATAACAACACAACAGTAAACAAACATTCAAAGCCACAGTGTAATCTGAAGCTCTGTAAGCTATATTGAAGAAAATGGCTATAATGCTAAAAGGAATGTTTTGTTAAATGGTTCAGGTTGTGGCATTCTGTTGCTGAGGCAGAACGTTCATATCATTCGATTAAAAATGTTTCCTTGTTCGACAGACTGCAGTGCTTTTGCTGCTGGGCGTGTTTCTCTTTCTGACTCACAAATCCTCTCTTCCTATACATTAGGAATTCTATCTGTCTCTTTCTCCCCCGTCAAATGCAAACACATAAACACAAACCATCCTCCCCCTTTGCAGCACAACAGGCCGACAGCTGTTGCCAGGGAAACAGCACAAACAGCGCCAGAGGAAACTACTACTGCAAGCCCTTAGGGCTTTGAGCCAAAGTATGGGGAACACCCAGTGCCTGAGAGGCGAATGAGAAGATGGAAAACAACAACAATAAGACAGATAAAGATGTGGCTCGACAGCCCGAGAAATGAGAAAACAGACAAGTGACAGAAGTTTGTTTGGCCTCTCACATTCTGATTTCCACTTTTAGATAGCAGAGGAGTATTAGTTCTGTCACTGTAAGTTTCAAATCTAAACATTGTGGTCCTCATTAGAGTAGAAAAAGAAGAAACAGCAAGCTCGTTTGAGAACCGGACTTGCACAGAATTGATCGCTATCAGATGCGTGTCAGACTTGATCTCAACTTTTTCTGATGTCATGCAAACAGGCAACGATCAAGGCGACTGCAGGCTTTTGAGTCTTTCACCAGAGCTGGTCTCCACTGGCTGCACAGCCTCAGGGCATGATGGGAAACGCCTGGCTCTCCACTGATCTATTGATCCGATTGATTTAGATGTTGACGCAATAAGCCGTTTAAAAGAAACTTCATTTTCTTCAGTTGCAGAGATTTAGATTTTATTAGTCTGTTGTGTTATCAGAGTAAATGTGTCGTTGATGTTGATGTTTATCAGTCAGAGAAGCTGAATACATTCACATTGCAGATCATACGTTGCATACAAAACATCACAGTTCTAGTTTATTGTGGATTGGACTGATTCATTTCTATAAGTATTAAACAAGAAAATGTATATTAAGTGTAACATGGGGATTCTTAAAATAGCATCTGTACAGATGTTTAAGGCCTGATAGTCTGAGTATCTGACAGACCAATAATGGAAGCTGCTGTCTTTCTTTTAACTGTATGTGAATGTTTATTTATGGTGATTTATGTTTTTTGAAAGGGACAGGTCTACTAAGCTGATTCACAGTTTCTTTAATGAGTATTCCCCAAACTGTGCATACAACAACTATCTGCTGTTTTTTACCAGTCGGATTTTGTATGGGTGAGTGGCAAAGAGAAAGCTGCTGTTGATAAAACTTACATTAAATTGTTGACTAGAGCTTATCAGAAGGGATGTGGGCGACTACACCAGCCGTTAGATTGGACACTATGTTTGCCAGACACTAAAAGCTGCACATCATCACAAACATATCATCCCCACCGTGAAGCATGGTGGTGGCAGCATCATGATGCGTGGATGCTTCTTTGCGGCAGGCCCCGGAAGGCTCATAAAGGTAGACGGTATAATGAATGCAGCAAAGTGTAAGGAAATCCTGGGTGAAAGAGAACTGAGACTTTTGAGAATACTTGTTTTCCAACAAAACAGTGAACTGAAGCATGCAGCCAAAGCTACACAGAAATAGTTTTAACGACCACAAGGTGAATGTCCTGCAGTGGCCGAGTCAGAGCCTGGAACTCCATCTGAGAATTTGTGGCTGGACATGAAAAGAGCTGTTCACTCACCGTCCCTATGTAAACTGACAGAGTTTGTGCAGTTTTCCAAAGAAAAGGGACTAAAACTTCAATGTCCAGATGTACAAGGCTGATTGAGACCTATTCGGCTCAGTGCTGTAATTGTGGCCAAAGGTGCATCTACTAAATACTGACTTAAAGGAGGTTAAGACCTAAACAACTGCTCATTTCACACTTTACATTTTTAATTAATTTAATTACTTTATAGAAATGTGTTTTCACTTTGACATGAGTCTTTTTTTTCCAGCCCTTCCAGTTATGACAAGGCATTCTATTAAAACTCTACCGTTTATGATCTCTGTTTTTGGTTCAGTCTCCATTTTACAGTAATTCTCATGTAAATCCACTTTGTATATACTGTGCCTATAAAAAAAACATTCCCCTGTGTACAAACTGATATGTGCGTCTGATAACATTTTAATAAATCGCTGTGTTTCTGTATCTTCCTGAACAGGCTGAAGGCTGTTGGAAACCGTCTGACTCGACTGCTGACTTTTAACACCGCCTCCTGCTGCTGCCACCTGCTCTCATCCACTTTCCAGGCGAGGTGCAGTTCATCTCTAACCAGCCTAACAACTTGTAAATCCATAAATCTGAGGACCTTCGCCAAAGGTAAAGCCTCAAATGAGACAGGCGCACCGACAGCACAAAGTTCATCTCCCACTCCTACGTCTTATTTTATCATCGCATGTCCCAGCGTGCCTGAGTCACGACTCAGCTGGAAAATACCGGTGACTAGCGAATGTCACAATGCATTAAGGACATGAGGTCACTGTGCACTCGGAAGGATACAGTCCTCTTTGAGCGAGTAGGCCTCTGCAATCTGAAAAAAAAAAAAAGATAATTGATTAAACAAGAGGTACAGTTTTGCTGATTGACAGTGAGGTTCACCATGAAACATTACCGTTAACCTGTGAAGCATCAGAGCACACCTCCATGCGCAGAAAATGTAATCAAACGCTCGTTAATGTGTTCAGTGAAATGTTTGAAATTCACCAAATTCCTTCAAAGATGCGGATCACATGGTGGTGTCATACTGGGAACCACAACCCAGCAGACAACCTGTGAGACCCGGAGTCACATGAAACTACTTATGGTCTGAATTAACAGTCTCTGGAGGTTTTTTTTTCCCATCCAGATGCTTTAATCTTCACATCCACCACCAGCAGACGACATAATTTACTGGTAGTCTGCTCCCTAACATATTATTTTTTAATTCCACGGTGCCACTTAGTTTTAGGGTTGCAACTACTGATTATTTTCATTATACATAATAAATGGGTTGCAGACATCACAATAATAACATCGTGATTTTAATTTCCCAAAGCGGAAAAATGATTTTTTGCTTGTTTTGTTAGTTCCAAACTATTAAATGTGCGATTATATATGCATCAAAGAAAGCATCCATTTTTGATAACATTTATCCAACAAAGTAAGAGAAGAGTTTGGCATTTCTGGGTGAAAAATAAAACTATTAATTTTCTCTTAATCAGCAAACTAAATGAATGAATCCACTAATCATTTCAGCTCCAGTTACTTTGAAGTTGTTGTTTGGATCATGACTTTACAACTGTTAAGATAAAGATGATCTATGTGTCAGCATTTCTATGAACTTGCTTCTGTCAGGGCTAAATAGAAGAACAATAAACAGGAAAATAATGAGCTTCGGGCTTAGTATGAAAACAGACCACTTGTTTAAGAAACAAAGCTGAACAACAATGACATTTTCTCACAATGTGCATGACGCTCTGTATGTTGGGTTGAAAAGAAATCCACAGACTGAAACAACAGACTGAATATTTCAGCTATTTCACATAATAATGGGCAGATTTTGTGCTGATTGGCCCTTCGAGACATGAAAAAGGTCCCTTTTCTTGCCTTGCAATAAGACACTCCACCCTTCACAGCCAGAAATGCTTTGTTCACACTTGTCTCGCATCTTTTTTAGCAACATTTTGCAGGTAAACTGGGTCTTAAGTGCTGCTGGTGGTTAAACTACACGTCTGTTGATGCTGGAGATGAATAGAGGCTGTCTAAAAGCCTTTTCAAAACAGCTAATACACAATATTTTTCAGAACCATATAAGGAAATTTTATCAGGTTATCTATCAGAACATACTGAAATAATCCATCCGTGACAGTGGGATCCTTCTGGAAACACATGTGGTAATTTCAATGGCATTCTTTTTTCAGCTGTGTTTGATTTTATAGCTGCATCCATCATAACCACAGTTTACAAGAGTCAAAAATACCATCATAGGCTCACGTGCAAATCTACACGAATGTTCACATTGATAAATATTTAGTATTTCGAGACACGCAGACTTTTTTTTTTCTTTTCATTTGCCTGACTTATTCTTTTAGATATTGTTTTAGACATCTGAATTGAGGCCATAAAAAATTTCTGTGCACCAAAATAGCAGGTGGGAGCATCTGCGACCAAATATGGAGCTTCATTTCCAACAGAGGAAGAAAGACACTGATCATATTTGTGCTCAAAGTAGGTGTCTTGTAGTTATGTGCAGCATCACTCACATCAGCAGAAATTCTTTGTAAGTGGATTCAATTTGTCAAAACAATTCTAAAAATGTGTCTTACAGGAACACGTCATATAACTGCTTTTCCCTTTTTAGTATTTAAAGCAAAACCGCTTCCCCTTTGTTCAATGATTAATGCAGTTGGCAGCAGTGCAAAGTAAACTACAAGCTCCTCAATGCACTGCAACAGTTGAGACAAATTAATCATACTGTTCAGAAATAATGCAGCATCAAACCACTGTGCTGCGATCCTTTTTCAACTAAACTGTATTTATCACACTTGTAATTAGCAGGTCTGTTCAACGCCATGATTGTGATCTGAGGCAGAGGGTTGCCAGTTCAAGTCCCTGCACCTGCAACTTAATGTTCCTCTTCTGCTTCACTATCTTCTTCTTTCAGCAATTCTTTTACACTTTGGAACAGCAGGCCTCGTTAAATCATAAATCAGGTCATATCTCAGTGCATGTGATCGTCTAGCAAGCTATTTTGATGCATTTTGGAAACGCCAGCTTTGCTATATTTGTCTCCGTGAACACAAAAAAAAACCACAGACTTTGCAAACAGGGCGCAGAGAATGACTGCCACACCGAAACAAACGTATTGTAGATGTACACAAACATGTATCGATGCACACACACACACACCCACACATGCAGCCTTTCTGTCAGACTAAATAAAGATGCACTGTATTCCCGGTGGATTCAGGAGAAAATATCCCTCACAATTTCTCTGACGCTCAACACACACACAGACACACACCTGGTGCAGAGAGTGTGGCAGCAGCGTGTAGTCGCTGTTTTCTCCGAGGGACTGCAGCGAGGCCAGCAGCTCGGGACTGAGGCCCTGCGCTCCATCTCTGGAGACGCTCCCTGGAAACATGGAGCACAAACAAATCAAATACATCTAATGTTTGAGTGTTTATATTCCAGTCACCTGCAGAATCATTGAAGTGTAAACTCTGATCGCAGTGTCTTTGCTGTAGAGATTTTCTCAGTCGTTGGTGTGATCAGTCAAAGAAATGTATTGGTATGAAAATCCTTTTTTTTTAACCAGCTTAACAAGTTTAAAAGGCATGAGCATCTACCAGGCTGTGGAAGTCAAACAAAGAGATGTTAGTGGTTGCAATACAGGAAATGTAGGATCTAGAAGTGTTGCAGTTTGACTCATATATGCTCCTAAAAATCTAAATATCTTATCCTTTTTTTGTAATTGCAATAGTTTTCACTATTCTTAGACATAGTTCAAACGTTTGTTTGTTAGATGGCAGCCTTCATGACACTCTGGAGTACATACAACAAACATAAAGCTTATCCAGCAGACTGTTAGATTAGTTTAGCACACAGACTGGAAGCATGGTGAGACAGTGAGCCTGGTTTGCTTTAAAGGCATCCAAGGACTATTATTTCTTGACTAATTAGCTGTTTGTCTTTTCAGACATGAGATGCAGCATTGCTGCTTCATCAGTCTGTTAAAGTGACAACATTCTGTCATTCATCTCTTTTATGTTAATATTCCTCACAGCTCCATTCAGACATGCCCGCCACAGTGACAGAGAGCCGTGGTAGAAAGCCATGATGCAATATTTGTAATTCACGCTAGACTGGACAATACATCAGGGGATTTATAATAATAAACGAATAAATATAAGTCTAAATTTAAACTAACAGCAAGATTATCAACCTGTCCAAATAACTTATGTTCTTGTTTATGTATAATTTCCTGAACACTGATAATTATTGCTCATAATCTCACAACTACTTTACTAAAAATATCCTGACAGCTGAAATGGAGCTCAGGACTCAAACCAAAGACAGGCGCTACATAACAAATGGTTTAACTGCAACCTGTTTGAAGTGAAGAAAAGTCCAGAATGTCATTCACTATTAGATTCTGAGTGCTACTTTGTAAATATAAGTTTCTAATGAAGTTATTGCTGTTGTTCCAAGTGCACAAATGTGTGTAACGCTCCCGCTTTGGAGACGCTCATATGATCGCACTGCTGTATTTAATAAACTCAGAGGAAAGACTCCTACAAACTGCTGGAAGCAACAAACTGAACTTCAGCTCCTGTTGATGTCAAGTAGTGAAAAACACAGATTCCATTCTTTATGGGTGACTTGTTACAGATTCTGTCTTCATCACTGCAAAGTTTTATTTTATGGGCATTTCCGTTTGTAACAGAAGTGAAATTATAGAGCACAGTGAATAGGAGAGATATGTCTTTTATGCTCTGTTTGATGTTTTAGGACTGATACCGGAGAGAAAGCCTTCCCTAAATCACTTCACACAACTCAAAGCACGTCACTTGTACATGTTGTTCAGACTTGTGCTTTACTGAAAATGTTACTATAGGTACATCGTAGTGAGATTGCAACTTCTATGGAAAAGTTGCCAAGGTCAGACATGAAGCTGAGGCACTCAGATGCAGTCAGATTAATGGAAAGGAGTACATGTCTAAAAGATGCTTTTGTTACCTTTGGATAGAGCCAATCAAGCAGTTTCTGAGTCTTTATGCTGACCATTTAACCATTTCCATGCTAGCTACATACAGCATTTACCATACAGATGTAAACGTGGGGTCAGTATTCTCCTCTAGCTGGAGTAAAGCAAATAAGAATATTTCCCCAAATCCTAAACAGTTCCATTAACCAGCTTAAAATAACAACAACAACAACAAGTCCTACTGCAGCACAAACTGTGTCTTTTGGGTACAAAAAGACACTCAATAAAGTAAATGATTACATTTCAGAGTCAAGTCTTGGTTTACATGTAGGATAAGATTCAGTTTGTGGTGATTCTCAATGAAATGAATGTAAATCGGTGTGTGTGAGGGGGTGGTGTGTGTCATTAGCAGATACGGTACACGTTAAAGCCAACTGACAGATATCAGCAGGTTGCCATCAGTGGCAGGCTGTGAGCCCCTCGCCTGCCACCGTCACTGTGACAATTAGTCACGATTAGCTGGAGCTCCACGGTGCAACTCTTACATAACTCCAGCTGTATAGCACATTACAAACATCCAAGAGTATTGGCCGTGGCTTCCTTACAGCTTAGTATCATCCTGATCATCTTAAGCTCTGCTTTTTCCAGCAAAGTATTACAGTTTGTGGAGGAACCGTGGCCCGCAGATGGACGACAGGCTTTGAGTTCAATCAGTGGCACAGATTGTGTACTGTGTCTCTACTGTGCTTTGAGATTAATAAAGTCAGCCCAGGGTTGTTTAAAGAAGATAAAACTATCTCTGCGAGGCATTTTATTTAATGAGTAATACAGTTTTAGTGTTACCACCCACATCAGCTGATACTGCACAAAAAGCTAAAGTCCCGAAGGTGCACACATTTTAAAAACACACAGCATTTGCATATTTTGTACAAAAATATAAAAAAGTATTTTACCTGTGGCACTATCGATGAACAACCCCTCTTCTTTTTGTGTATCCCCAGTTTCAGGACCTTTAGGTGGGCTGGTGTTTTTGTTACCCATCACCTCTGCCACTGCAGCAGTTTTCTCCTCCAGGTTCCTCAAAAGCTGCTAAGACCCTCCAGTGGGTTATGGTCGGGTCTCTCTTTCTTCTTTTTTTTTTTCCAGGCCCTCACTGGAAAAACATTAATTGCGTCTGACCTTTATCAAAGTACTTCCTTTTAGGAGAGATAAGCAAATTACTTGGGAAAGTTTGTGCCGCTTTAAGCTCCGGGAAAAGATTGAAGAGAGCCTTGAACTCAGGAGAGCGAAGTCTCAGCAGGTTTGGTTTGTGATCACTTTTGGCAGAGCATGTGATTTAATCCTCCATCTCCTCTCCTGGGTGGCCAAGAACAGAGACGTTTGAAATGTTCACCACAGCACACGACGGCAGGGTTGTGGAGGATGTAGTTCCCAGCACTTGCAGGCTTTTTGCAGCCCTGCGCGGTTTATTGTTGCTTTTTCTCTTCGCTTTTAAACGCAGAATTCAGTGGAGCCTCCGTTCCTCGTCTCCAGCAAGCTGTCAAGAAAATTAAGTACATTTTTTAAAAAGAACATAACATATGCCTCGCTCATGCAGTGTGTTCTGAGAAGCACCAGAGAGACAAACAAGAGGGTGGGATGCAAAGAAAAGCAGCATTGCTGGTGAAATGGCAGTTATGTCATTGACTAAATGGGATGTCTTTGTGTTGAAACCATGACTGCCAACTGAGGCATGACAGAGTGCTCCGTCCTGAATGACTCTCGGGTTGAAAATAACTTCATAAATGACTGCGTAGTACCTCCAACAGAAAGGGCATTTTTGAACTTTGGATTTTTGCAGGCTTTTTCAGAGAATATTTCACAAAATATTTTAGTGAACCATGAATGTTTGGACAAAATGTGCTGTTATTCTATCAAATATTTAAGCATTTCAGTTACTGAAACAAACAGCAAACATTCACATACTTGATGCCACGGCACAAGCTTAACTAGAAAGTCATGATTTGCAAATTTTCCACTATTTTCTGGCACATTAACGACTTAATGGTTAATTATATAAAACTGAATAATTGATCTAGAAAAAAAATATTTAATACAATTGAAAACTATTACGAACTCACATAAATAGAGGTCTGAAGACAATTATTTGATGAGAGTTAAGCTTCAAAGTGTTATATCTGTTTAAATTTCTGCCTCCACACCAAGGAAGAAGCTTCAGAGCTGAACAATGAAGCCAATGTAGACGTGCCAAAACTGCAGTTCCTTGAATGTCCACTTGAGGCTGCTTTAAAACAGTCAATCCCCACAGATCTCTATGTTTAAACGGCCAACTTAACAGCAGAAATAAACATGTCTACAGCCTGAAACAAATAACAGTTTTAGTCTCTAGAGCTAATTCACTCATTTGTGACAACCGTACGGGTGTAAATTTTCATGCAACTCAGCAGTTTTCATTTGCATTAAGGCTTTAAGTTATTCTCATTTTTGGATAAGCGAGGACTTAGGAGGAATCTAGCCTGACTCACCTGATCTAGATGTCTAGTATAAACCTGCCATTTTCTGTTCATGTCATGTCTCCGTCCCCTCTGCAATCAATGTCATTTTTTAAAAAGTTACGGTCACTACAGCAAAAAAGAACAACCACCTCCAGGCAGCATCCCACCACACTGACGATTTCAGATTTTTCACTGTCTTTGAATAAACGCCATCACTGTATCCTGTTCTTAGCCCCACCCAGGATAATTCTGATTGGTTTAAAGAAATACAAACACGCCAGAGCTTTTCCCCCCCGTCTATAGTAGAATAAGCATGACCTGGCTACGTGAAACCAGGAGAAGTCAAGTAATGCCAAGATGGCAACTGTGGGAGCAATATATCTAGAATTTGGTACCAACGTTTACTTGGTTTCAAGCATGAACTGATTACGTTTTGGTGGTCCTCACAAAACACATTTTTGGCCACACTTAAAGTAGTCATACGCTAATTACGACAACATTTCTCACAAATGTGTGAGACTTTCGCTACATTGAACGCATAGCATGTTCGGACTATTTGCGGAGCGGATGTACCGTAGAATATGTTTTGTTACTGGCTACACCTGCAGCGCACACACAGGTGTAGGGTTGTAGAAAAACAAGAAGGTGAGCTCTCGTTTTTGGGATGTTGTGTCCTTAGTTGTCCCAGCACAGCTATTACAGTTTTTTTTTTACTGACTTTGTAGAATATCTGAATCATATTATCATCTACAGACGACATGAGGCTCTATAAGAGATAAAGTGCAAAACTCGGCAAATACTCGTAAAATTGACGCCATCAATGTGATCAAGACCCTGACTTATTTTGTGTATACAAGTGGTTTAATTTTAAAATAATATAGACACTTTATGGGTTGCAAGGTGGCGCAGTTGGTTAGCACCGTTGCCTCGCAGCAAGAAGGTCGCTGGTTCGCGTCCCGGTGGGGACACCGGAATCTTTCTGCGTGGAGTTTACATGTTCTCCCTGTGCAGTGTGGGTTCTCTCCGGGTTCTCCGGCTTCCTCCCACACAGTCTAAAAACACATTGAAGTTAATTGGTGATTCTAAATTGTCCGTAGGAATGAATGTGAGTGTGCTTGGTTCTCTGTCTCTAAATGTAGCCCTGTGATAGACTGGTGACCTGTCCAGGTGAACCTGCCTTCACCCTGAGTCAGCTGGGATAGACTCCAGCCCCCCACGACCCTAGTGAGGATTAAGCGGTGTATAGATAATGGATGGATGGATGGATAGACACTTTATGACCCATTTCTGTGTAAAAAGGGCTGTACAACATAGAAATAGAAGACTGGCCTGTCTTTACATTTGCAAAGTACATTTCTGCAGAGCATATGCACCACTTTTATTGATTATAGTTCAAGTGTAGGGTTGCAGCCGCTGCCCCATGAACAATCCGCTTATGTTCATTTGTTTATTGTAACCACAGCGTAATAGGAGAAAATAATGAACTGACTGTATTTTAGATCCAAAAGGTCAAAGATCAAGTCCAGACAGATATGGATTTAAATTGCACTTTGTCTAGTTGGTGAAGGCTGACATCCACAAGGCAGGGATTCTAGTTTCATCATTTTATCTTAGTCCCAGCAGACTTAGTGCTCTCTGTAAGTTGTAGAAACCGTCTGTTCAGTTATCTTCCAAAAGTCAGCACCTAATGATGCAATAGTGAAGCTCAAGACAACTATTCAGATGACATAGTGGGTGAACGTTCCAAATACATGAATCTCAAATTACAGGCCTCAAGCTGATGTTTTTATCCTGATTAACAAGACCAGGATTTAGTGTTTGACCTAAAGGCTTTTCACAGCAAGTTCACAAAGGTCCACCTGTAACTGTTGACACAAGGCTGACATTAGAGGAGGAATGACCTTTGGCAGATCAGTCACTCTAACCTCTAGCCAGGCCCGTCACTATAATTATTATCCAGAGAAACCACACACACACACACTGCTATCAAGACTCACGGTGTTTTGTTTTCCTTGCATTACAGTTTTAGAGATTTTCCCAGTTTTTGTGTGTCCATCTGTTCAAATCACAAGTGGTGCAGTTTTACACACCAGCTTCTCTCCAAACTCACAAAAAACAACCTGTCTTCCTTCCTCTCACCGTAGGTTGACTGTGTTGGCCGTAGAGCTGCAGATAAATCTATTTCCACCTCATGAAACTTAGATTTTCAGCCTGACTGGTCAGAGGGTGTGAAGGCTGTGCGATAATATGCGTTCACGCGGCATGTTAGCCGTCATGTGAGCGTTATGAATTCTGCAACATGGAATGTGACACAAAGTACAAACGCCAGGAGCAGCGACTGACTCAGGACGTGTAGCATGAAATGCAGAATGGTGCAGGAGCTCTGTGTGAACTGCTCTAGAGCATGCTGTGCTATTACGGTCTTTTCTAGACGGTAATCTAGTTAGCTTAGCATGTTAACTGATGAGGAACAACTAGCATGACTCTGTCCAAAGGTATCTGACTGCTGCTCCACCAACTAAGAAACAATCCAGGACATAACCTGCTGGACAACACACATGAACATTTCCACAAATATACGTTTGATGCTGACATTGTTAACATCCTGGTTTTTGACAGTTAACATGTAAAATGATACCAGATATCTGTAAGTTCACAAAACAGGGAAAATCTGTAAATAACAATCAATTTTTTTAACCATTTTAAAATGAATTAGTTGAGAAAATACCTAGATTAATTTTTAAAAAATGAAAACAAAAGTAATTAGTTGCTGTCACAATTAATGGATTTTGTTTTATGTAGCACTAATAAAAAAATGTAAAAACAAAAACAAAAAACAGGGAAAATCTGGCAAAATCCACAAAAAATATGGAAAAAATTATGCAATACTGCAACATTTAAACACTGGGAAATGCATTGTTTTCTGCTATTTTAGTAGATGTTACTTACAGTTTAACAAAACAAGAAAATACTGTAAAATAACAGTTATTTAACATTTTTAAATTGTCAATAAACAATTTTTTTCTTTCAAAGAATTTGAATATCTGGAAAGTTTTTTTTATTAAAATATAATAAAAAGCTTAAATTAATGGTCAAACACTGTAAAAAATAAAAATTAAAAAATTGCCTTTTGCAAAATTTCAGCCTGTTTGTAACAGTTAACATTCAAGTTTAATTATTTATTTTCTGTGATTTTACTGGATATTATTTGTAATTTAACAAAAAAAAAGCAAAAACCTGTAAAATTACTGTTTTCCATTTTTAAATCCTCAATAAACAATTTTTATTTCAAATAATTTTAATTTTAATTAAAATATTTTATATTTTTTCGGATAAAAAAAAATACAGTAAAACAGCTTAGGCTTATGGTCAAATGCTGTAAAAGAATAAATTACCTTTTGCAAAATTGCAACCTGTCTTTAAGTTTTTCTGTGATTTTACTGGATTTTATTTGTAATTTAACAAATAAGCAAAAACCTGTAAAACAACAGTAAATTGTTCCTTTTTTAAAAAGTGTCTATAAATATGCAACTCGCTGCTGTGTTTTGGTTTCTTTATTCTGTTTGGCGGTTTCTTTTTCTTTTTCTTTTTCTTTTTATATTTGATTGGATGTCACACATGTGGGTGGCCGGCTGTGCGTGCGTGTGCACGTGTCTCTGACGCTCGGTTTCGTGCACACCGAAACCTCCTAAAACGTTACATTTTCAGCCTGTTTCACGTTTCTACCGGTCTCCCTCGTTTGGATCTCTCATCTCACGCACATAAAAACGGACCGAGCAGTAAAAACGCACCGCAGCATCTCTGACCGACGAGTCGCTGGTCGAGTTCATCGCCCTCAGATTCCCACAACACTCTGTACTTGTTGTTTTTAGCAGTGGCACCTTGTTTAAACCCTGTCTGTCATCAATAACGTGCAGTTAAAGCATGAAAACATCCAGTTTAACGCGAGTTAATGTGATCAGAGCAGCCAGAGGACGGGTGGATGGATGGATGGATGGATGTACTCACAGCTGGAGGAGCTTTCCGGCTGAACATCGACGCCTCCGAACAGCGTCTCGGTGTTTTCGTCCTGCAGCAGGATCCGCACAAACCTCACTCTGTCATCCGTCCTCCGTCCCTCACACTCTCTCATGCTTGTTGTTTACGGTCCAATCCGGGGATTTTCCTGTTTCTACCTCATTGCAAAAAAAGAAAAAGAATCTATATTCCTCCACGGCATGTTATTTATTTCCCTGCAGCTCCGGCGGTCTTGGCCGCCATCTCCTGGCAGATGTGCAGCACTGGCTGCTGCCCGGGAGTCTTATGTAAGAGCAGATAAAGCGGTCATATGATGGGTGCTAAGCTGATCAACCCAGCACAGGATTACAAGGGAAATAGTAAAAAAAATGCACATCGTCTTTGGGTTGTATTGTGCCTCTTATATAACCTGAACAATTCTCTAAATTTATCAGACTGATGTGTGTCAATCATGATAATTGTAGTTCTTCAGCAAATCACACAATACATCAAACCCTTTATCTTCTTTGATTGTCAGAAAATCCCACATCTTCATGCAGAATAATAATAATAATAATAAAGTGATGAAATAAAGAGCTTCTGATGATATTTTCTCAGGTTGAACCCCCAAAGTATCATCATGTTGTGAACTCATTGTTTGGATATTTAAACAAAAGGTGGAATGTTAATTTTATCACCATGTACAGCTGTGTATCTGTGTTTTTGATTCAAAAATAAGACAAGATGATGCTTTAATAATGCTGGGAGATTTTGTTTTGAGCCAGATGTTGCTTATAAAACAAGATTGAAGAATTTGAAAGAATTATAAAATAAAGAGCTTCTTCTTAAATATTCTGTCGTAAATCCCCAAACTATTGTAATGTGTTGTTCATGTTAATTCTTTGATTAGATAATCAAACTGAAGATTTAACAGCAATTTGATTGCTACATACTGTTTTATATATGATTTTTAAAAAACAGAAATAAGATTAAACTTAATTAATCCAGAAGCAAATTCTTGTGCCAGATATTGCTCAGAAAACAGAAATTAGAAGAAAATAAGCACCTTATTAATCAGTAAGAGTTATAATGCTTTATGCTTACTGTAATTTATTTGAACAAGCTTACATTATCTTTTAGTTTCCTTCACTAGATAGATCTATAAATTGGTGAGGTGGCCTTTCCTACATAATCGGCGGCTTCACCACTGGTTTCATTTCATTTACAAATCAGTTCTGGCCATGACACCTCCCTCACTGTCCTCTCTTTTTCAAGCCGCCCATAACTCTTATCATACTAGTGAATACATCAAGCTCATCATTCCCAATACCTCAACTATTTTTGGTCGTAACTCCTTTTGCTTTGCAGCAGCGAACGACTGGAACACCTTAAAAACTTGACTCCTCTCACCACCTTCAAGCTTAAAATCCAACAGACTGTAGTTGACTGTTGTTCCTGCTGATCACACCGGATTTTACTTACATACTTATATATACACACACACTTTCTTACACCTCATGCACATCTTTTTCACTCACATGAATATGCCCCCATGCTTCTTACTTGTTCATTTTGTTCTATGTTATGTTTATGTGTCTATTTGTGTCTGTAATTTACATGTGTGTTGGCGCCTCTTGGCCAGGTCATGTTTGCAAATGAGAACTGGCTCTCAAGCATTTTTACCTGATAAAATAAAGGTCAAATAAAAAAGAAGCATGATCTTAGATTTCTGCCGACATCAGATATGTCAATATTTTCAAACTCAATTTACTCAGATGCTGATATATGCACGTATTCTTCCAAATGATCTCAAAACCTGTGACGTTTGACTAAGCTTTTTCATTGGTTGCCCTTTGTGCCTGACCTTTCGCCGGTCTGACTGTGTGTCTGTGAGCGGTCGCCCTGTAAACTAAAATATCTCGGTTTTAACTGCATTAAAACTGACATAACTGCTTTTTCTTCTATTTTTTAAGGAATGTTTATATCATATCTTTGTTATCGTACAGCCTTGTGGATCAGTTACTGTCACTGCCCGAATGGTTTGAGCATGTGACAAATAAAAATTCTTAATGTTTATGATTTTGATCTCTTTTTAAACTCATTTTTCAGTCTGAGCTGCTTTGCTACTGTAACCAACTAGACACTAGAGGCTCCTGTTTGAGACCTGAGCTACCAAGCTAGTCCACTATTTTCAATCTATAGCTTCACACGACACATTTTGTCTACCGTGGCCTGCATGTGAGACATTTAGGGGATGTTCTGTAAATTGTAGCTTCAGAAAACAACATGTGTTACAGTGTAAACGCTAAACTGCATGAATTTCTGTGTGCACATCAGTCCCACTGCTCCACCCACCACCACAAGTAAATTCTCACCTTGTGGGAAACACAGAGGTATGATAGAACAACCAACATTTTGGATTGCATTGATTGCATTCATACCTCTGTGTATGGGAACCGGAAGCAAATTTAATGCATCTAATGTTTTATTCAGTGTTAAAAGATGCAGCAAAAAAATGGGGTGCACTTAAATTATGTACCAGTGCACCTTAGTGAAAAATGTAGGCGCTCCAGTGCAACCACTGTAAAAGGGTTAGTCTGGAGCCCTGCTTCATTATCTGTTATCATAATGTCACACTGACAGGCGCTGGCTTTTCAAATGTGTGGCATTATCTGCCTGTCAGTGTTTATTTTGGTCTGATGGCAATGTTTCATTTCATAGATCAATACAGATGAGGATGCTGATACCATGATGCATCCCTGCTAAAAAGCTTTTCTAAGGCAGAAGTGGAAATTTCCTACAATTTTCTCTTAAAGTCACACTTTGGTCGTTGATTTAACCAGAGAACTCCTCTCTGTTTATCACAGTTACATAATCAGAAGGATCTGCGTCCCACCCTGCAATCTGACAGGATTGCTTCTTGAGTTTTGTAGAATGAAACCACTGTAGTCTGATTCTGTGTTTCAGTTTGTCAGCAGTGTGCTGCATACAAGGTGGAAATATTTTGGTATTAGTGTTGACTGCTTATTTCGCTCATGATGTGTCCAAAAACCAAACACGGACCTGGTAACAAGGTAAAACACTTGATTTTCACCAGAGGCGTTCCTTAAAATGTGCAAAAGAACAAGACAAAAACGGCGTCGCTGAAACTTGAGTTTACAAAGACAAACCTGCCTCCAAATGGGGAGTTTCTCTCATCTTTTTTTCTCTCTAAATGAAGATTCACTTGCATTATTCAGGTTCCAATGTCCTGTGGACATTCAGCAGGGCTTTACAGAAGAACTGTGTGTTTGTGGTGTTCACGGAGGCCGAATGCTTGACTGTGGTTTCCTTCGCTGATTTTATGGAGCTTCAAATGGGGTTAAATAACGAGGAAGTGGAGCAGAAAGAGAGGAAAGGCAACGTCAGGGAAGGAAGCATATGTGTGGGTTGCTTTCCAGCTTTTCTTTCTCTCCTGTAATGACGTTATAATTGGGCGGCTTCGGGGCTGAACTCTGCATGTTCTCATTATCTTTTCACTGAAAGCTCCTCCTGTTGGAGATCTTGTGCCGCATCACAACATTACAGGAGACATTTCCCTTCCTCTGTGTTTGCAGACAGTCAGGTACATAAACCTGCAACTGAAAGAAAGCTCTGTTTGATCACACATGGCTTTCAGTTTTGCAAGATTTCCAAACACAGAAAGAAACTGAGAGCTCCGTACGACATGCTGAGTAAAGGGTTTCACAAACTTCCCCGCATGTTTAACTGCATTGATCTAAGTAGACGTCTTCGCATTGTTCCCTGATTACAGTGCATCCTCCTCTCCGATCGGCTCCGAGCCACCAGGCTTTTCAGACATAATGACGTTATTCCTTTAAAGTAATTACTCCTCCATTACACCGAGAGTGGAATCAACATTTTTTATTCTGCACCCAATCTTTCACTAATGTGTTTTAACAGTCAGTTTATTGATCCTCCGAGGACAAAGAAAAGATTCACAATTATGCTTCTGTTGGCAGTAACTTCAACAAACGGCATCCTTCAGATTTATCCTCATAACAGTCTCTAAGATCCCTCGACCCAGCGTCTTCTTTATTACATTAAGGGTTTTGAAATACACAACTTTAATTGTTTGAGCACCAAAATCTATTTACAAAATGGCATCAGAGGTGACACAGTTTTCCCTTTTGAACAGTCAGCACGAAAATAACTGTGATGGTCAAACCTCCTCTTAGAGATGACTTCATTAGTCAGCAAGAAGCGTTACTACAAAGAAATCATTGTTCAAGTGAGGCAAAGTGCAGAACGTTGGCTGACGCAGAAATATAAGAAACTTAAAGAACGTAAATGTGACATTAAAATGTGAAATCTTGTAGTGAATTGCATCCTAATTCTAAAAAAATGTCTGGTTTGTTTGTGACAGTGTTTACTAGAGATCCAGGTGAGGTACACATTAAGTTTCCCCATAAATAAAGAGTGAAATCAGATTATTAACAAATTTACAAAGGTGCGTAACTTTGGGGGTTGCAGCCCTGCACAGATGTTTAGAAGCATCTGTGGTCGTTAGATCCAACGTCAAGTGTATATTCTGTACAGTATTTAACTCAAAGGAAGAACCAGGATCCAAGAACCAAGACTGGGTGTTTAAAGGGAAGGTTACAGTACTTGGACTAGTTTTGTGAGTATCAGATACTTCACTGACCTGAACTGTAAATACAAAGCACAGTGCTACAAAAGAAAAGTCGCAGTATGGTTATTTAAAGGACAAATGGAGAAATTGCAGAAATGTAGTGCAGTTAATGTATTGTACCAGAAAAGGAGTCACTTGAAAAGGCCATGAAGGCAGGTATAGGATGCTTCTGGATAAGTCTGTAGCACTTGGATAATTTAAAGGGATCAGAGGCAATGTGGCACAATGAACTAAAGTGTGCGTAAAGTGAAAGTGTAGAGGAAGTGGACACATTTGGAATTTCTCATCCTAACAAATATCAGTGATGTTGAACCAGGTGTACACCGAGCAGCCACAACGTTAAAACTACCAGCCTAAGAACCACACTTTCCACCAAAACAGCTCTATGGCATCGGGGTGTTGGCAGTGGATCCTTTGGGACCTCCATGGATCAGACTTATTCCAGCAGGTCC